GTAAATTATGACACTTTTAATACAAAGTTGACATTATTCAAAATGTTTTTGTTATGACAACTTGACATTAACCAAGAAATCATTACTGATATAAATTTGTTATAAAAGTATTACTGATTGCACTTTAAAAATGAGGTAACTTTATGTTATTAAAGGTAAAGTTTAAACAGTAATGATTTATTGGTTCATGTCAAGTTGTCATAACAAAGACATTTTGAATAATGTCAACTTTGTATTAAAAATGTCATGATTTACCGAATGACGCTTTATGACAACAGTCATAACTATTCATGAAGACTTATTGATGTTCATGACAGGTGTTATGTCATGTTTATGACGGTGTCATGTCAGTCTTATTCAACTCCCTTCAAATAAAGTGTTACCAATCTCTTTCATGCTCTTAACTCATTGTTAGTGATAGCCTTCTGGTAGACAACTTAAAGTACTACTAGCACTGAACATAGCTAAGAAAAATCAGTTATTCTTTTGAAATATTGCTTAATGTTCAAATGTATTGACACAACTTACTTTTAAATACCATTTTAAATATGTTTATGTGTGTGTGTATGCTTAGGGATGTGTGCTGTTGTGCCTCCAGTCACAAAGGACTGAGCTACAGGGAACAAAGAAATTGCTGTACATTTAAAAGTTATATACTTTGTAAATTATATTTGTGTCACACAATAACATAATGAAACTACAGACTATCATTCAGTGAGAATCTCATGTTATCCATTTGCAGTTGTTCATGCTGGAAGGATTTTGCTAAAAGCAAAAAAATAATCTGACCACAAGGTGATTATTGACCTTCAAGAGAGGAACGAGCAAGACGTTGTGAAGCTTCAATTTAAAAAAATTCAATGTTGTAAATTAAAACCTGCTCCAACACCATCCAAGATCAGAAATGAAGCTTAAAGAGAGAGCACTAGCTGTAGAGGAGAAAAAAGTCCATGAAATAAAAAGATAGAGGGTGTGTGACACAGCACTGCTGCAACATGGAACTAAACCTCAAATACATGAGCAAAAATAAAACTATTATTGGTGTTTACTTTTTAAATCAAACCAATTTATCTTTTTCATGCCCCTTAAACTTCTTCACATTGTATAACCACAAATCTTTGCTAGACAGACCAACACAAAGCAGTGCACAACTGGGAAGTGGAAGGAATACGATGTGGCTTTCCAGAATCTCCTGAAAATAAAAATTTGGGAAAGTTGTGACATTTTTATTCAAATTGTCCAACTTTGTTGCTATATTTAGTGTCTTTTCTGAGAATTTCTTTTAAAACTGGTATCGGCAGGTTTTGTCGTCAGACAAAAACCAGCAATCAGCGCACCATTAGTGCCAAGTCTTGAAAATTTTCCATCCAATCTGACTTAAAAATGTCCAAATATTTTAGTCTTCAGAAAGTGTAAAGTTACTAGAGACCTTCCCAAAAAGAGATGGGGCCGATATTATAAAGAAAGGTGGTTATGCAGTAAGAGATAAACACAATATACACTATATTATAGATGAACAATTTCTGATTCAGAAACCAATTTTTCTATTCAACCCTAATCCTGACTGACAAGAGGAAACTGCAGTGTAAACATTTATTTAAAATAATTCTATATGGTTCAATTAGTTCACATTTAACCCAAGTAGGTTTGTGCATAAAACTCTAACTTAAAACACCAGTATTAGGTTAGCTTAGCTGCCTGGCTTTGTTTTAAATAACAAAAAACATTATTTTACATAATTTTACAAAAAAATTGAGCAGACTGAAATCAATTTTTGAGAATTTTGAATCAATTAAAAAATTCCCAGGACTAGAAATTGACTTTTTCCTGCACCTCTACACTATTTATGTATTTTTTAATGTCAGAAATCATGTATTGTTTTCCGTCCACTTCACAAATATAAACTACTTTGCTTTGGTTGAGTCATATAAATATCAACTACAGTTTGGAGTTGGAGACTGAAAAAAATTGGGAATGTTTGACACTTTTCTAAATCACAGTGCGGTATGCATTTAAAAAAATTAAAAAGTGCTCTTTAAAATTCCTTATTGCAGGTAGCTTGTCATCCAAACAGGAACCAGTTGGTCACCAAGTAGCCAACCAGAAAAGGACAAGCAGCTATCACACCAGGTAGTTCACCAGCCACACAGTCACTCACACGGTGGATGAAGGAGAGAAAGTAAAAAAAAGAAAGATCGCTGCCAACAACAACAGCAGAGCAAAGCAAAAAAAACAAAACAAAAAAAAAACACCTCAACTCTTCAAAAACACATCTACGGATAATTTACATTACAAAACTTAGGTACATCAATTAAAAAAAATTCAAAAGTTACAGAAACTTGGTTCCAAAAAAACTTACCAAAAAGCACAAGTCCGGAATAAGCCAAGATTAGCATGCAGAACACAAACAAACACAGAAACAAAGAAAAAAAAACAACAACGTAAGAGACAATCGTTGCACAGTTATAATGAATAAAGCAGTTAGCATCGCACGCACAAACACAGAGTTTTTACAGATAAACAACGCTGTCTGCTAAATGATGCTCACATTAACAGCAGGGGGCCAGAAGGCACAAATTAACACGTGAAGCTGACAGAGTCATTAGGATGAGTTAAAATCTGATCTTAATTCACGCAATACATGAACACACACACGTACAATGTGGGAGAACTGCACTTATTCACACATATTAAACTCCCCAAGGGTTGAAATCAGTGAAATGTGTCGATCATTTCATAATTTTCTGGGCAGACAACAAACATTGCTTCCAATGGTAATCAGTGAGGCAACAGATCGACTGAACTGTCATTATTCTTGGAGTGTGTGAATAGATTCGTCTTTGAGAGTAATTACTCAATCTGCAGAATACAAATGCGGGAGATCTAAAAACAAGTTTCAATTTCAGGGTTACGTTTGTCGAAATAAACCACCACCAAGGTCATTCAATAAATTAAAAGAATATAAACAAAAAGAATAAAGCACATCCGATGCCATCATACCATCATGACTTTGTTGGAGCCGTTTGCTGTTGACTGCAATGCTTGAAATCTACTTTGTCCAAAAGGCTTCCATATATAGTAACTTTTGAGTCATTGCTGAGACGTTTTAATCCAGAGGTGATTATTGTTTTTAGTAGAGCTGCACCAATTGTAGTTTTCTGGCCAATAACCGACCTTTAAAAAGCCTTGCTAAAAAAAGCGACAAAAAAAAGAATCGCTACATTGGCAACAGTTGGAGTGGCCGCCAATCACCAATCTCCCAAAATTAAGAAAATCTGGACCAATTTATCAGCCGGTCGATTTGTTGGTGCACCTCTGGTTTTTATGCAGCAGATATTGGCATCTGTAAATCACGGGGGTTCAATGGCTGATCGAACTTTATGCTTCTTTCTATGGGTGCACCAATGAATAGGCCCAGATATAATGTGTGAAAATCAGCCACTGTCCACTTTTGTTCTGTTGTAAGAGAGGGCTGACTGACAGACCCGCCCACCACGTCATGTCTGCACATGTGCAGTTAAATAATAGTCACTCCACTGTTACCAACTTAGCAACTTTGTCACTCTTTTTATAGTGACATTTAAATCCCCATTTTGTGGATGTAGACCATGTTTAAAAACAGATATTTTTTATGTGGATAATAAGAGAGGAACTATTTGTTGCTACCCATGGATTTACCTAGTTGAAAATCATGGAGGTAAGCAATGTTAAATCACATCTAAAACAGCTACACTATGCTAAGCTACAGATAACATAGGAAAAAGCAGAAGCTACCTCACCAGCTGACAGAAGTTAGCTAAACAGCTAACAGAAATGAGGTAACCAGTAGGGCTGTAAGATAATATCGATATCGCAATATATATATCGATATTTTCTTTCCTAGAAAAAAATCGATATTCATCAGTAAGTATCGTAACATCCAACTGTCATCTTGCTCACTCACTGCTTGCTTCACCAGGAGAGTGATTAGGTCATCAGGCTTAGAGTGATTCCTTCAGATGTTAAGTGTCAAGGTTAAAAAGGTATCAAACTATTCAGAGCAGGCTACTTGGTGCACTTTATTTACTTTATAAATCCATGTAAGCTAGTTTGTACTGTTTCAATTAAAAGAAACATGTTTTCTCTCCACTTTGATTCTTTTTGTCCAGCTGTCGACTTTAAGTCTGTGTCCAGGTCCAACCAGAGCCAGGCATTGTGTAGTTGGTGCTTTTAATCAGTTTTCCGTTAAATTAATTCAATCCAACTCTATAACAGTCACAAAATATCACCAAAATCACTCTGTCCCTCTAAAATCTTCCAGAAAATCGCAAAAGTATCGTCTGATGAATATCGCAATATATATCGTATCGTGGACAGAATATCATGTACCGTATCGTATCGTAAGATTACTGTATCACTACAGCCCTAGTAACCAGCTAGCTACAGTCTTCCTTATATCTGCCCTTTCCTGACTCTTTTGTGAGTTCAACCAATAAGGGGCAAAGAAAAATATGCGGCTATCCTAGACTGGCTCCTTTCCAAATGCCAACCAACAGTACATCTACTAGCAATGTGGGTCTGTATTTCAGCTTCCCAAGCTGCGTTTTCTTATGAATACTTTAGATAGGCTCTATGGAAAAAAAAAATCCACAAATAATTTGAAGTTGCACTCCACAAAAAAACAAATCTAAAATAAGGAAAACCCACAGAAACTGAACCGTGAAAAGACGGGGGAAGGTTGGTGGGCGAAAGGGAAGTGGGGTCCATGGCACTACATTTTCCCAGTTGAATAAACTCAATTTGGTTTAATTTAAAAGAAGGGCTCAGTCTACTGAGCTAACATCTTTACACTGTTTGACAGTAAATTAAATCCTTATTGATCAGCATATCGACAAGTTATTTCAACTCTGATTATTGCTAGCTTGGGTAAAACAGGATAAGGTTATAGTTACGCACTGGAACACACAAGCTACACAGATAAAGCCGGAAAACACTATGCATTCACATCCTCCATCACCTACGTTGTTATTGCGCGTTTCGACGGCAGGAAACTTCCTAACGATAAATTTGACAGCCGACTCCAGGTTCTTGTCGACAAGATAGGAGGGCTTGGCCTTCGGGTCGCCACATGCCTGCAAAGAAGAAAAAAAAGAAAAAGAGGTTGTGAGGAGAAACAAAAATATATCTGCATACATGCAATATTTCAGACTGAAACAAAACAGCCTGTTTGCGCTTTGTTTCAGCTTTTCTGACATGCCTTTCCTTGTAGATCTGGCATGTTAGATCCAGTTATTCAACAGAAATGGTTTAGTGCTTGCAGTCAATCCTGGTTTATCCCACGCCAGAGTTTAAAGAAGAGTGTGGTGAAAGGATATGCTACCATTTACTAGATTTAATCTTGTTTTTTTTTTTTTTTTAACTAGATACTTCTGTGACCAGTGCATTTCCCATTTAGGTTCACACGTCAGTAAAGATTCACAGCTTATTGTTTATAAACTGGCTTTCATTTCTGGATAAACCAAGTTTAGCCTGAGCAAGTGCCTGAAGTCAGCAGTGGTTCTCAGCTATACGGCAGTTCATATTTAAGTAGTACTTTAATAATTGGGAAGAAATGTGTTTAAGAAAAAGCAGAAAAATAAATAAATCCAAAAGAATTAGCCATAAAAATGGTGAGAACCACTGAGGGAGCTCCAGAGGAGAGCGTTTCTGATTCAAAGTGTGTCTGAGTGGTTAATGCAACTATGTGACGGGTGGTGATATACAGACAGAGTTGACATGAAATAGGTGGGAAGCAATGTACAGAGAAGAAAAAAGTAAGTAAAAAGAAAGAAGTGGATTTTGTTTTAGTGCTCCATGTCATCTGTATCAAGATGAGCAGAATTTTTTGCAGAGCGGAAGCGTATCATTCATTCCTGTAGAAGTGTAGCAGTATTTGCTCGACCCAGGGGGAAGCAACAGCGTTCATGCATTATAGAGGTATTGTAGTATTGAATGATGAAAATATGGCACATGCATACACCCGAGACAGAGGCCGCCATCTTAATGTTTCTTACTGGATGAAGCCTGAAAATACTTATTTAGAAAAAAATTAAGCCAGTACACAAATTAAAGTGGAAAACTAAAACTACACCTGTGCTGACAGCTAAAAATACCCACAGCCCAGACACAAGACCACAATATGAGCCTGGACTTCAGTTCGTATTGCATCAGGTCACAGTTACAACACAAGTCATTATTAAAAACAAAAACAATCTAACCACAGATCACACAATTTTCCACTAGCTCCCTCAGCAATTTGCAATACAGGTTTGCACAAACAAACTGAAAAGTGCCTACTGAAAATAAAGCTTCTAATAATATTAGAATAAATACTGCACAGGAACAGATCTGGACGTAGGCAGGGGGACACTCATGGAAAATCAGTGTAAAAAAAAGAAGAAAAAAAAAAAGAAGAATGACAACAGAATTTGACTTTAAACCAACTAAAAATGCATCATTTTACATTTGGATGTTGTCATTGATCCATTTTAAAGCTAAAATGCTAGCAAGATTAGCTAAAGAATGTGTACTGTTATCTACAACACCTGAAACCAATCTTACATAACCTTTAAATGAAATTTAAAATGGTTAATAAAAATGTTTTAAATGCTGTTCATGTATCTCATGTAGCTAATTTATTGACAAATTGATGCATCCGAAGTGCACAAAGGAGCATTAAAGGAGATCCTTCCTGCACTGCTCCCAACAAACTCAAAGAGTCTTTAGATTCTGGATATAATAAGTATTCATTTTAAATAACATTTCTGCTGTTATTTGCAGAGTTTTTGGGTTTTATATACTTTGAATAGCCTACTGTCTTGACACAGAAATACACACAAAAAAAATTCAAACGAAGAATTAAACATTGACCAGTTGGGAGTAAAATTTGGGCGTTATAGCCACTGTTAAATGATCTAATGCTGTGAAAGCTTCAACAATGAATCTAAAATTTTAGTTTTATTGTGCGTCAACTGTGCTAGGCCTACTTCCTTTTAACAAGTTATTCATATCTGAGACATATTGGTACACGAATAAGCATATAGATATTGACTGGAGACAATTCCAAAAGCAGGAGGCAGGCAAAAGCGCAGGGCATTCTGGATAAATACAACCAAAACAAACGCGCAAGTCCAGCACTAAAACCAATCACTAAAATCTGATGGCACTAAATTTTTTATATTTTGTGAAGAAGAAAGTTATGCTGAGCGTCTTTTTTCGTGTCATTTCCTTCAGTGGTTCTTGGTACAGCGCCAATACAGACGAACGGGGAACAGATTTTTCAACGGGTTTGGTTTGTTTGACACAGTGCAGTGTTAAAGCGAACCATGCCAACTGAAAATGGAGCAAATGTTGCAATTCTGGTCCACAATCCAACCAAATATACCAGAGTATGAGGTGTAAAAAAACCCTAAATGTTGGTGAGTTTCATATATAGTCCAAGGGGGAGGGCAGATTTCTCCTCAATCACCAAAAACAGTTTCCCTTGTTCTAAATACTTGTAATTATGAAACAATAGAAACCTAGGCTTAAAGGGAGGGAACAAGCCAAGGCTCAGTGATAAGTAGTTCACGCCACTGTTTCCAAATACATCTCAATCAGTCAGGAGCCAGATCAGGAAGGTGGCCACATATTTTTCTGAGCAGCTTCTAAGGTTTTACTTTGGTTGTTACATTTACCTATCCTGTGTTAATGTCTCAGAAATGCACTGAAATAAAAACAGCCCTCTTTCCAAACTTTGCTCATGCACTTTCAAACTCAGTGATAATCTTCAGTAGTGTTTGGATCAAATGAATGACCCACAGTGAATATTTTGACTTCCCTTGCAGCAACCACATGTGCAGCATCACCTGGAAGTAATTAATTTTAATAATGTGCCGTGATGACATCATTTGTTGTGTGAAACGCTGATAATGAAATAATATTTTGACAGTTGCATTTCTGTAATACAGCAAAAAACCTCAAAAGTAGCTTATAGTCTGATAGCATGTAGCCACGTGAGACTTCCAACTGCTTCCATTCACTGTTAAACACAAACAGAAGATTACTCACCGACATAAAGGGAGTGCTGACACGCATGTAGAGTAGCAATGTTTATCAAATTTGGAGCAGAAACTATAAGCAACATTTTGTCAAAATGGAATTTATTTGAATGGCGGTGAACATGGAGACCAAGAGTGTCAATTCTTAAAATCTCAAGGTATGGTGCAAAGCCTCAATGAACTATCTTTTTTTTGTTGTTTACTTATAATAGTGCATGTGCAATCAAACTATATCACATAATAGTTTCTCAATTGATTTGACATAATTATGTAACAGATTTTGTTTCAGGAGTATAGGAGTCATTTAGTATTTAAATGGTGTGGCTGCAGCCATTAGTGCTAGTGAAAGCTGCAGTTATAAGTTAGCTATCTGAATTTGAGTTAGGAGTGGAGAAATGGATGCAAAGAGGGTTGCAGTGAATGAAGGGACATGAGATGGGAGGAAGATAAAAAAAAGCATTATTGGATAAGAAAAAAAAATAAGGGGGCAGTTTCCTGGATACTAGAATGGATCTGATTCTGGCCTCTACCGTCAATTTAACACTCCAGGTACCAATTAACAGCCGAGGCTCTCAAGGGGTCCATACACCGACAGACACAGCAGAAAAGCCAGGAAAGACTTCATACATCTGAAAAGTAATTAAGTCTGCTAATTACTAGATGCGGTTTATGAGTCTGCCGCAAACCACTTCCTCCCTGAGGTGAATTCATTTTCGTCTGTCGTTTCTCACAGGACAGGACCTCTCATTTTCACTAAGTCAGATTAACCGCTGGAAAAGAAAAGAACAACAGCTCTGAAGAATGGACGGTCTCTTCTCATTAGAAACTCAACCACTTGAGAGGCATTACTCTACTTGTCCTAAGCCGAACTTTTTTTGAAATCAAATTTTGGAAAAGTAAAGGGGTTTTGCTTATGTTTTTATCAGCTTACTGTTTTGTAATCGTGTGTGAAAAAGTCTTGTCTTTCCAACCAACTACTTTTTTTTAATTATTATTATTATCTTTAGAGTAGAGTTACCTCAATGTCAAAAATAATAATCTCTCCATATCAATTTTGATAAATTTTCAGGACTTCATCTTTTATATTTCAAAACAAACATGGTCCAAACTGAGCCATCCATGCTTTCAAAGGCTGACACTGTGTTTGATTGAAAATTCAAACAAAAAATATTTAAAACTGACATTTTTATTTTCGGAGACCTACTGTTGTTTATTTCAATCTTAATCCTTTTATATTTGACATTTTTAATTCTTTGACCTTATTGTTTGACTTTTTATTCATCTACATTTTTCATATATATTTATAATCTTAGTGTCAAGTGTTTATTTTCCATTTTGTGAAATATAAAAAAAATAATATTTTAGTTTGAAAAATAAGAATTAAGAATAATTGACTCATTGAAAATTTTTTCGCTGTATTTGGGAAGAAACGTTGGCTTCCAGGGAGGGAGGTCTTTGGGGTTTTTTTCCAACTTTGATTTCACAAAGAACCAAATAATTTTGAAAGTAAAGGGACTGAAAGATTTTTGTGTACCATGGTTAAATATGATACTGACTTTTACAGTTTAGAAAAAGCAATGAATTTCTGTTTTGCTGTTGTCCCTCTAAAATAACATTTTAATATGGTGCCAATTTTCCTTGTGTTTACATTTTGACTTCTCGCCCCAGTGAGAAAGCAAAAGGCTTTCTCACTAAAAGGTGGGTGTAAACCCGTCTACACTATAACGGTATAGGCTGGTTACCGGTATCAAGGTTTGCTGTAGTTTAAAAACAAAATAAATAATTTCAAAAGAATGCCATTACCCGCTTTCCTTGCCTAGTAAAATATGTATGGAACTTGAATATTATAACAAATAATCAATATGTAGTACTATTCTAGTAACAAAAGAAATTAATTGTTGCTTTATGCAACAAATTAAAGCAATTCAACGATATTTAAATACAATAAAAAATTTCCTATTTTTAATCAATGTTGTTACTCTCCTAATTGCACTGACTGACAAATTAAAGTTGTGTTGTTTTTACATGTTTGACCAAGACTGTGAAGACTTTGGTGTATTTAAATGTGCTGTACTGGTGCAAAGCTATGAAATAAATTTCTAATTCAGTAGATTTACATCTTTTATTTTTTTGTTTTTAAGAAAAGAAACGTTTCAGTCAATTCAGCACTGTTTTTCTATATCGGCTTGATATCGCCCAATACTAAACCTCAGACATCCGTATCAGAAGTGAAGAAAGTGAAGCGGTGTATCCCTACTCCAAACCACAGTGAACATGAAGATTTCAAAATATACTTTTAGCAAAACATCCAGACCTTCATCTGGACGTTTGCTACAAACACAAGCAATTGTTTTTTTTTTTGTTTTGTTTTTTTGCCATATACCAACGGATCTGTGTGCTTGAATACAGATTGGGTGTAAAATATACAGTATGAAAATGTCACAAGAAGTTATGATTAATACATTCTAGTAAGGGTGCATCGATTTATCTGTGCCGATTTCCTTAATTTTGGGAGATCGATGATTGACCCACACATGTGAAGCTGATCTTACCTACCTCAACAAAAACTCAACCACTGTCCTCTTTCTGCTCTCCTGTGAGAGAGGTTTGACTGACAGACCGGCCCACCAGGTCATGCCTGCATCTTTACAGTTTACAATAGTCACCCCCACTATTGCCAACTCGATTTTTTTCCTATATTTGGCGACATTTCATACAAAAAAATCTGTATCGGCCAAAATTGGAATCGGCAGGTCAGGAATTTTAAAGATCAGTAATTGGAGATTGGCCAAAAAACTGCAATCAGCACCCGGCTACATTCTTTTAGTAGCTTTGTGTTAGATTAACTCTGTTAAGGGTGGCACAATCAGTGCCCCACAAACAAACTGAAAAACATATCCATTCTAATGCATTTCTTTAGGACACCAGTCACACAAAAAAGTCTGATTTTTATCACTGAACTGGACACAATAAATGGTTTTAATCATAATTTCAAATCTATTGGTATTTACTGATGCTCTGAATAAATAGTGAGTAAATAGTAAAACAAAAAATTATGACAATACAGATAGTTTTGAGGAATTGAAACATCATCAATTCAATTCAAAAATATTTTATTAACCCCAAAGGAAAATTAAATCTTGTTGTAACTCATTAATTCTTCAAAGAGTTATTGAAGATGGTGAAGGCTGTTGGCAGGAAAGATGCAATTCATTGTGGCAACAATAAATCAAAATTCTTATCTTGACAAGAAATTATCACGATAAATTACGATGTGATAAATTTCTTACATTTAGGATAATATATTCCTATCTCACATAATCAAACTGAAATATTAGATATTTAGATAATCACATAAGATCTAACTGTCGGACACAACTTGAACTGAAATAGCTTACGCTGTCGAATAGGGCTGAAATAAAATATGTAAAAAAATGAGGAACAGAAAAGAATCGGCATCAGTGGACGATACACTTGACAGTGAATGGAGCTCAGGCCTTACTCTCAACATTACAGACTCAAACATGAAGAGGAGTGAGGTACGAAGGAGGGAACCAACAGATCAGTCCGGGTAGCCAGGAGGACGTGGAGGGAAGGGAGAAAGAGGAGGCAGTAGAGGAAGGGTGAAAAGGGAGGAGGACGGGGTTTTATCAGTGGAAGGTGATAAATTGTGCAAACCTTCCAAACTTGTCCTTGCTGCATAGGAGAGGGGGGAAGCATTGGAACGGAGAGAAGAAGAGAAAAAAAAAATCAAAACAAAAAAGTCCACCTGAGCAAACTGCTTCATAACTATAGCAAGTCCACATACACACACACTTTTACAAACATAAAAAACACACAACAGAAGTTTAAAAAAAATAAAAATAAAACACTGCTCTTTATACATCTGAGAGCTTAAACAAGGATATCCCTTCCGGCAATTATTTTCAACATAGTGCATAAAAAAAGAAAAGGAAAAAGACATGCTGTGCCAACATTTATCACATTAACACTTGTGAAGCACACCGTCTTACAAGTAACAGAGTGTATAATCCCCACCTACACACACAGACGGTGAAAATATCACATCCATGTTGAGGGTGTGGAAAGCCCTGAAATAATACGGCTGGCACTCCAGTCAGCAGCGGCAGCGTCTCACACCGGTAGGGAAAAACAACGTTGGGCACCTGTAGTGTTTCTACGTCACGACTGTCGCTTAGTAACTGATAAGGAAGTATTCTTGAATTTGAAGTGTCATGGTTTCATTATTGCAGATTTTAATCCCTTCTCCTTTAAGACGTAGTCCTCTGTAAAGGTTCTTGGTGTTAAAGAAAAACTGATTGAGGTGTATCTGAAGAATGTCATTTTACAAATTAGGTTCGGTCTTTTCAGTTCCATCTCTAGATGGCGTTGCAGGGTAAAAACTATTCACCCAAAGGTGTAGAACTAGGCATTTAGCTATTCTATATCTAATGAGAATAGCTAATGGCTTATAACAAAGTACAATTCAGGAGAAACTCCATTATAGAAAAGCTAAAAAAAAAAGCCTGAAAATCTCTAAATTTTATTCTTTTCTCTCATTGGGCTAAGCTGGCCACTCCTGGTTAGTTAATGATTTCGACAAGAATGAAAACTACATCTGTTGAGGTTGATACCATGTTGTGGTATGGGTTTTGTCATTGACATATGGTGGGTTAGCATGGTAAAAACCACCCACTTGTTCTATGCTTTGCTTCGTGCAGAGGGTCTATTGAGAAATAATTGCTTGCTGGAGGAATGAACTCAAAGTTTTAACTGATTGGATCGGATTTTACCCAGTCACTAACACTTGGCTGTTAGCCAAAATACATCAGCTATGCTAAGCAGCTTACCAGAAATTGCATGCATTGTAAACAACTATTGTTTCTGACCCACTGCAAAAATTGCAGAGCAATAAAACGTCTTAAAATTTCCTCTTGGTCTGACTTTAATCTCTCAATATTTATAAGCGTGGTCAGCATGGACTGAACGGCCTCTTTCACTAATTCCGCTGCCATTGCTAAAACTACAACCGTACAATTCTAAAACAGCGCAGAAAATCAATGTCTTCATTCATAACACCTCCTTGTATTCGTTGACTGGCCAGGCTAACATTCTACCAGAGAAATCTCAGACACAGCACTAAAGAAAGATGAGAGTCGAGGAGACTTGTGTGGCAGGTAATGGCCAAACTAATGGCAGGTATCAACGTCTTTGAAGGTTGCACTTTAGTGTTAGCTTCCATTAAATACTATGCTGATATAGCACTTTAGCATTAGCAAGGCTAATATTTACAATTAATGCGTTAGCATTAGCACAACTAATTTTTGAGTTAGTGGTCAAAATGACAAAAAAAAGGAATTACAAATACTCTCCATTTTTTGATCTCCATAAAAAAGATATAGGCAGCATGAATCTGTAATTGTTCTGTGTAGAATTATTAGGTTCAGATAAGATTTTATCAGTTTTTAGTACTGTAGGTTATGAACATGAAAGGATCAAAACACAGTTCCCTCAAGTCTGAACTGGAAGTGATCTGGACCCTCTTAATAGGTAAGCGCATGCGCAATGGATAGCGGACCCATAGCTTTGAGACCAACAAAAAGAAAATATGTGGACAGTCTTCACCAATGTGCAAAAGTAAGATGCATAAACAAAATTGTTGCCGTCGGGATTGACGTGGATGTGACGGAGAATGGAAACAAGTCAGACGATATCAACAAGCTGCCGCCGATCTACTAGGATATAGTTAACTACCTAGTGAGCAACACGAGTGCATACAACATGAAGGAACTTTGCAGCCTGAAATCTATCGACTCACAATCAATGTTTCAACAGATTTGTAAAGGACGTACGAACTCTTCATGTGAATAATAAGGCTCTGATGACTGGCAGAGTAAGGACATATAGCAACATACACTATAGGCTACTTGTCCATCTTAGCTAGTTCAGCAGTATTACAGTAAAGATCACTGATATTTAATCAACCCACCTCTGTGTAATACTAAGATAATCAAAAATTGTGATCAAGTAATAGTTGTAATGCACTTATATTGTTTGTAAGTTAGATAGGAACAAGGCAAGAGTTAGTTCTAAGCTTGTGGTCTATTTATTGTTGTCATTGCAACTCCATAACAAATGCCTGCCAAAGATGGCTATCAGCTACAAAGTTCATGGAAATGTGATGTCAAATGAGAACTATGTATTCTGGATTTTTTGTTCAATGTTGATAGTAAGCTTCTATCATAGCGGTAGGGGCTAATTAGCGTTCATGATTTTTTTTTTTGTATCATGTCTCAGAGTGTCAACCTTTTCTCTTTTGTTTTAACTGAAAATGGTCCCACCCAACAGATTTAACAGTGGGGAAAATTTCTTTATCACTTTTCTAAAACAGCTGTCTGTTAAGTCTTTATTAGTTGATGTTCCCACAGTGGAACTTGTATTGTTTTTATTGTTTTATGACATCAACAGTGTTGCTAATATTTGTTATTTACTGTAAAGTGTTTTACTTGATCTTCCTATCTTCCCTGCCTGGTCGTTCTTGTAAATATGAATTTGTTCTTAAATAAAGATTAAAAATAAAAAATACTCAAGAGCTACTTCCTTTCTTATTTCAAAATAGGAGTCTTAAGCTTATGTAAGGCATTTATGGTTCTGCTGTGAAGCAAATACCAAACTAAGAAGATTGCTTGCTCACCCATCCAAATCACTGGAATCAGGTGTTCCGATCACGTCCATGGCCACAGGTGTATAAAATGAAGCACTTAGTCATGCAGACTGTTTTTACAAACATTTGTAAAAGAATGGGTCGCTCTGAGGAGCTCAGTGAATTCCAGTGTGGAACTGTGATAGGATGACATCTGCGCAACAAATCCAGTCATGAAATGTTTTTGTTCCTAAATATTCCACAGTCAGCTGTCATATTAGAAAATGGAAGTGTTTGGTAACGACAGCAACGTAAGCTGATAGAGCGTATTCAGCAGATGCTGAAGCGCATAGTGTGAAGAGGTCGGCAACTTTCTGAAGAGTCTGAAGACTTTATGTGGCTTTCAGATTCGCTCAAGAACAGTACATAGAGCTTCATGGAATGGGTTCTCCATGATGGAGCAGCTGCATCCAACCCATACATCACCAAGTGCAGTGCAAAGCTTCAGATGCAGTGGTGTGAAGCATGTTGCCACTGGACACTAGAGCAGTGGAGGCGCGTTCTCTGGAATGACAAATCAAGCTTCTCCGTCCAGCAATCCAATGAGTCTGAGTTTGGCGATTGCCAGGACAACGGTACTTGTCTGACTGCATTGTGCCAAGTGTAAAGTTTGGTGAAGGGAGAAATATGGTGAGGGGTTGTTTTTCAGAAGCTGGGCTTGGCCCCTTAGTTCCAGTGAAAGTTGAATGCTTCAACTGGCATTAATGGGATACATACGAATATGCACTCTTGGTAGTTTTAAGCCGTGAAGCCCAAGGAGAGGATTCTGGTACAACAGACAGAGGAGTAAGGCATTCTCCTTCTTATCCAAGACTATCAGCATCTTTTACTAAACAATTTTGTCTCAAGAGCAGTGAAATGGTCTGACAGTAGAGGGGTAATCACTATCAGCACAACGTTTGGGACAAATACGTTGAAACAGAACATTACAATGACATGTCCAGGCATTATAAGTTTGCACAACACGTTCATGGGTATTGTTGATGCTCTTGACGCATTGATGGCTGATTATCATATGTGGCTGAGCCCAAAAAGTACTATCGAACGGTTCTTTTTCCATTTCGTAGGGAAGTCAGGGTTTCCCCCAGCGTATTATAAGCCTGGCAGGCCACTAGGCTTTACTTGTGCCCTCACCAGGCTGAGCATTGCTTATTTATTTAAGTCTTTATAAAACTTGAATTTTTTAAGACTT